TCTCTCTCTCTCTCTCTCTCTCTCTGTGTCTTTCTCACTCTCTGTGTGTGTCTCTCTCTCTAACCTTGCACTTTATCAGATTCTGACTATTTTGCCTATTTTGTCATTATAATCTATACAACAAAACGAGAGTATATGTATCATTCTAGGTTTTTAAAAATGTTTTCAGAATAATGAAAATGTTAATATGCCCCCATCGACACAATTCAGATCATTCAGGAGGTGGGCTTCCGACCCAGCCTGTCAGGGTCACCTGTAGGTGAGAGGGATACATCCTAGCAGAAAGACTGAGATGCTCGATTACAATTTTATCACCACTCTGGATCAAACCCGGGTCTCCTGCATGCGATAGTGAAGCACCTAACCTCTTCACCACAGACAGGAGTATTTTAAGTCTAACTAGTTATATTTATGAATAGTTAATGAGAATTAGTTCGTAATTTTTCTCACTTGTTTTTTTAATAATTTTTGTGCATTCTTAGATTGCCGAGTAAGATTCAGAAGAGATTTTAAGATTTTGGGAGAGAAATTACATGAAACTTTTTAGTGGATCCACCTGATATTTCCCTCTTTTATTTCATGGAATGTTATTGAGTTCATTCCACTTAATTACAAGCACCAAAATGATTTCAGATATTAAAACAGTACGGACAATGTATATATTTTCAGAGGTTGCAGATGGGAGAGATACCCTGACTGATGGACGTCATGAACTCACCTTTTCCTTTGACCTCCCCATGGGGTAGGGTTTTTTTTTTTTATACTTTGCTATTTGAAGACAAATGCCTGTATTAAAATTTGTAAAAGGGCTGTCTGTTTTATCTTCCCCCCTCTTCTCATTTGTTTTTTTTTCACTGGGATGTAGGGGTTGAAATCGCTTGAATTGAATGCAATAAAAAAGGGCATGGTTTTCAGTCCAGTTCACATAAAAGGTATTCACATTTTGGCTCATGTGAAAATATCATAACAATTTATGTAAGCACATATTTGCTACACTGGCTTCACATTGCTTCATGATACCATCCAGATGTAAGATATCAGTTTGTTTAGTACTTAGTTACAGCTCTTTTTGACATAAAGAGTTTGCTAATTTCTGATAGGTATGGGCCTAGTGAATAAAGAATCATGAAGACTCCCAAAACAACCTAAGTTTAAGAATTCTCATGTGTGGATTTCTGAGCTCAAAGCAGTTTAAAGAGATCTTAAGCTAATTAAGCCTGCATGTCTCCTATTTTACTGAATCTAAAGTATTATATAAGTCAAGGTAATTTTTATGATCTTAGGAATAGGCTTACTGTAGTGCACTCCTCTCTTTCAGTGAGCTGTCTGTTATTTTCTTTATCTTGTTGCCTGGTAGTCTTGGAACAGATAAAGTATGAAAATATCAGGTTTTTCCCTTAAGTTCATAGTACACTGCTAAATAAAGAATATCATGTGGGAGAACTTAGATCATGAATTACAGATATATTTCTTTTTGCTGTTTTACAACGAAGCAGATATGTGTAAAGTAAACCACTAGATATAGAAAATCAAGATGATATGTATGTTTTAAAATGTCTATTTCAGGGGTATTTCAACAAGTTTTGAAGGGAAACATGGCAGCATACGATACTGGCTGAAAGCCGAGATGGACAAACCCTGGTCATTTAATCACAAGACCAAGAAAGCTTTCACCGTCATCAGTCCTATTGACATCAATAGACCTGAGTACCAGGTAAGAAGAAAGTCAGCATTGCTTTTTGTTATGAAATAATGTTACTCTTAATGATGAGTTAATTCCATTTTCTCTAGTCGATATATCAGTGGGATAGAAAGGTACGATAATAATGTGTTCCAAAATTTAATTAATAAGTGTTGTAGTTTGTGGGACCGTTAAAATTTGAAAAAGCTTTCCAGTTTTTGTGAAAGCTAAAAAACAAATTGATGACAAATTTTGGAGTTTGTGAAAACTAACAAAAAATTGATGACAATTTTGCATTTTGTGAAAAGTAAAAAAAAAGTTGGAGACAACTTTTGCAGTTTATGAAAATTTGAGAATATAAAAAGAAGAATGTATACTGCTGTGTCCTGACCCGTCTCCCGTCTCTCGTGACGTCCCTGAAGGTGCAAGTGGAGAGCAGTGTGGAGAAGACTCTGTGCTGCTGGCTCTGTACCTCCGGGCCCATCTCCATCACCTCCAGGACGGACCGCAGGGGATATTGTCCGGGTGTGTACGGCTGTCGGGACTGTTTTGTTGCAGAAAATTATTTAGTCTATTTTGACTTTAAACATTTTGCCATCATATTTTGGGGAAAATCCAAAGAAACAGGATGGTAAACATCGCCGATCGGCGAGATGAGACGGCGAAGTGTAAAAAAAAACATGCCAATTTGTTAAAATTTGAAACTAGTTTTCCTTGATTTTAAGGATGATTCATAGTATTTTGTATTTCTTGGTTAAAAAAAATATCGTGTAGGAATCAATATGAAAAAGTGTACTGGGCAGGATTGTTCTTTTTAATGGGAATGTGTGTGAATAAGCAAGACCTACTCAAATTTGGCAGTGTGCAGACAGATGCCTTAATTCTCTCATTTGTTTTACTAACAGCTTCAAGTAATGCTGGTTCAGTCAAAACTGTTGAAGACACCCACCCATTGTTGAGGTGGAAAATGGTTGTCTTGGACAGTGTCAATGTAGTATGAAAAAAACAAACTGCGAAGGTGGAAATAAGAAGTGGTCATTTGTAGAGATGATTGATTGTCTTGGACAAGTAGCCATAAGAGCAAGTTGTTGTTGTTGTTAGCGATCCAGTAGCATCTGAGCGTTATTGTGTTCTAAGTTGGAAGATTATGGATTGATCTCCCCTCCTCAACTCATTGATTGGATCTTTGACCAGTGGTTTATTCATGTGGCCAAGTTCAACTGTATAATCTAGTTCTTTTCTTTTCTAGAAATGTTTTTGTTTTCGTTAATTTTTATTTGTACCTTTTTTCTCTTTAGACAAGAGTATAGGTAGTTTTTATTGATTTTAATTTTGATTGCTTTGCAGGGGAGTCCATTGCCATATCTGCGGAATTTGACAATCATTCATCTCGCACGGTAATACCATACGCCACCCTGTATCAGTCTCAAGCATTTTTTGCCAGCGGTAAGTCTCGGATTCGCCGGACAAAGTTCACTGTCCTCACTGGTCTTCCTGTTGCCCCCGGCACTAGAGGGTCATGGGACTCGCAGCTTTTGAAAATCCCCGCAGTAACGCCATCAATCATCAACTGTTGTGTCATGAAGGTGGACTATTATGTAAAGGTAACAGCTTTGTTCATCAGATTAATATTTTCTTGTGAATATGATGATCATGTTTGAGCAAAAGGACATTATCATTGTTTACTTTAAGCCAAGCATGGCAATTCAGAAAAGAAAAATTGAAGTGTATGGAGGAAAGATTTCTTCTTATGGTGTAAGATGTTTAAATGATGTGTTAGGTTTCCATTTTCATTTTTGATCTGTTTTCTTTTTGAGAGTTATAATTTTATAAAGGAATGAATATACTTTGATTGTATTAGGGGTTGTAATTTATTTCACAGTTAAAGTTTGTTGTATTGACGTATTTTGTGTTCATCTCGTATCCAGCACACACAATCATTATTTTATTCATATTATATATTGTCTGCTGATGGCAGTGGCTATTGTGGTTTGATCTTTTAAAATTTTGTGATTTTTGTGATAATAGTTGTGAGGGCATACAGCAAGCTGTAAAATGTGGGTATGGGCTATATAAATACAGTTATTATTTAATGATATTATTATTTTTGACATTACCCAACCCTATTATCTACAATCAAACTAGAATATTGATTTGGGTCACAGCTGGATATCCAACTAGTGACAGTACATCAGAAAGTAAAAGCGTAACGCCATACCCAAATATAAGACTCTTAAAAGCCCAGAGCTCAGCTCACATTGTAGTCACATGTGCAGTGTTGGACATTCGAAATTGTCTGAGACGACCACCTATCATCAGAGAGAAAAACGGTTGTCTTACTCAGGTGAATTTCTTGGACAGTGTCATTGTAAGAAATGAAAAAGGAGATGTTTGTTTGTTTTAGTAGAGGTTTTACAGCGCTCGCAACTGCATAAGGTCGTATGAGCGCCAGAAGATTAGAAGTGTTACAAGAGAGTAACAAATATAAAAAAGAAGGAGGTGAGATAAGGACGATAGATGTTTGATAGAAAAGAAGAAGGGGGCTCTCGTGGCCTAGAGGTTAAGGTGTTGGCCTCTCATTCAAAGGTCCCGGGTTCGAATCCGGGTAGCGACCAAAAAATTTTCTTCTCTAAAATTGTCTCCTTTCACCTCCTTTCCTGCTCTCTAGCAATGTTCTGTTGTCTGCTTTCATTTCCACTTTCTGTCCCCACCCCCTCACCTCCTTTGCCCCCTCCTCTGGGCTCCTGACTCTTTCTGCAGCATTTCTACTGCTACTCCTTGGCTCCTCCTTACTGCTGTCTTTCTGCCATACCCCTGATCTTCTGGTAGGAAAGATCTACACCTAACCTTCTCGGACAAGGGCGAAAAATCTCGGAGGGCCCGTGTGCAAGTTGCGCACGTTAAAGATCCCTTGGTGGTCTAAAATCGATAAGAGTAGGCTTCGGCCGCCACCCGGGCAAAATTCAAAATTTCCTACCAACTGAAAATATTAGGTGTGTCCCGCGCGCTCATATGACCTTATGCAGTTGCGAGCGCCGTAAAACACTTAACAAAAACAAAAAAACAAAAAAAACAAAAGAAAAGAAGAATTAAACCACACCAGACCTCCCACCAACCACCCACAAAAGGAGATGTTAAGTAGTCATTTGTATAGATGATTGTCTTGTACAGGAGGTGGTTAGAGCAGGTTAGAGCTGTTGCTGAATATGTGTATTCTGCTTTTCAGGTGGCTCTCCACATCAATGGTGCCTACAACCTGACCATGCACTTGCCAGTGATGATCGGCACGGTGCCTTTCCGACAAGCCGCCAGCTACAGATACACAGACTCACACTTCTACCGAGAGACACAAGCCCAGTATGCGTCAGTGAACTTACTCACTGTTCCTGTACCCCCGCCGTACAGAGAGACCATCACACCGCCGCCTCCATTTGATGGTTGGTCCTGTTTGCACAGTCCGTCTTTGTACTATTTTTACGTTTTGTTAACAGTCATGATCGTCATCATCAACTGCCAGATCTGCAACTGACATCGGCGATCATGGTTTGCTATTCATTCATTTGCTCAAATGCACTTAAAAAAGCTATAGCCAAGACCCTGTTCTTGTTCATAAGTCAATGCTTTAAAATCTCACAAGGTGGGTGGTTGGCGGGTGCTCTGGTGTGGTCTGCTCCTTCTTTCCTATCAGACATCTATCGTCCTTATCTTCCCTTCTTCTTTTTTGTTTGTTACTCTCTTGTAACACCTCTAATCTTCTGGCGCTCATATGACCTTTGCAGTTGCGAGTGCCGTGAAACCTCTACTAAAAAAAAAAATCTCACATGGCATGTCTGGTGGTGCTTCTGTTTCTTAAATACTTGGTAGAAATAGACATGTGAGTAATTTTGTCAGAGGAGTAACCCAATGGTTTTTGTCCGCCCCATAGATCCACCTACGTACGCAGAGAGCATCGGAGGAGCTGTGAACATCAATGACGAAGATGATGACGAGCCCCCCGGGTCCAACATGGGCGACCTCACGTACACCCCGATGTATCGCTATGTTTATAACTATAGGCCTCCACCAGCCTATCATGAGGTGAGTTGCAGGGAAAAACAGTTTTTCATTAAAAGAAAAATTTTAATGATCGAAATGTTATCATGAAAACTCACACAAAGAAAAAGAAAGAAAGAAATCAACCAAAGAAAAAAGAAAGAAATCGGCTTGAATTGGAGAGTTGGGAGTTACGAAAAAATGTACACTAGCTTACTTTTTTACTTTGCTGCAGCTTTGAAAAGAGTTTAGACTGTTGACAGACAAATCATCACCGTCTGCAGCTCCTCATTTCAGCTGCACGCCTTATACATTGTCGGTAAACTGGTCCTAGTTTCATGTGATTGATGCTCTATTCAGCATCACACATTTCCTTCATATCTGTCTCCTATCCCATGTCCAGGTTTGGCTAGCATGTCTAGTTTAGAATCACCTTCCTCTCTTTGTGAAATTGTTGTCCAGTCCAGGCTGCCTCTTCCATGTGGGTGGTTGGAGGGTACCACTGGTAGGTCCTATTTTTTTCCCTCTGTTGTTTCTGCCTCCAGACTATCTCTCTTTTCCTCTACATGAAACAACCTTTTTTGTTTTGATATGCTTCTCTTTACACCAACAGAACCTCTTCCTTTTGATTTTTTTCTCTCTGTAGGTCGTGGGTGGTTGGCGGGTGCTCTGGTGTGGTTTGCTCCTTCTTTCCTATCAAATATCTATCCAGGGATGCCACTCAACTTTTTTTTAAATAGCTGAAAATCCACGCGCCACGGTCTCGCTAACATATGAATATCAATTTGAAACCCAAAGGGTTTTTTTCTAACTATAGATTCTATCTCGATCTCAATAACGGAATAGCGGGTCAGGATCAAAATACTTGAAAAAAGCGAAAAAGTGGCATCCCTGTCTATCGTCTTTATCTCCCTTCCTTCTTTTTTGTCTTTATTACTCCCTTGTAACACTTCTAAGCTTCAGCACTTATACGACTTAATTGTGTTGCAAGTGCCGTAAAACTCTTACTAAAACAAAAAACTTTCTGTAGGATGACCCAGGTGCCTTCCCACATTTGGAGCATTTGAGCCTGACGGCGTGCACAGACGAGGACTCCTGACGACCGCGGGAGTCTTGTAGTCCCCCTAGCGCCAAGTTATTCATGCGGCGAAAATCATGTGGAGATGTGGGATGTGATGGATTGTCTGATGGTTGCCTGCCATCCTGGATGGAAACGTTCCCTTTGAGATGACAGTAGTGATGACGGTGGTGGTGGTCTCATTGATATCTCTACTCCAGGGTGTATGATGACCTTTCTTTTTGGGGTCTGAGGTGGCGAATTGTGCAGGTTTCAGCCTCACTGTGTGAGTTAGGCATATATCGCTATTTGATCATGTTTTCAAAAATGTTTTTTTCTTCTGCGATCAAACACAAACTGTATTATTATCGTTTATTTATTTATTTTGATAAAAAAAGTATTTTTTTGTTCTTTTGTTTAAAACTAAGCCTGTTATGGACAAAAGTTGCAGAGCATGCATTTCTGTGTTTGCTGTAAACTGCGATTGTCATGCTGTTAACTTATTATTCAAATAACAATTTGAGCATCAAAGGTTGAAATGTTGAAAAGGTTTTCGTTGTTACTATACATTGTACTTGAATAAGAATTGTGTTGCATGAGTCGAGCACACGTGTGTGAAAATCTAGTCGGGCGTATTGTTTTGTCAGATGTACGTTGTTGGTAAAGTCTTTGTGTAAACACATTACAGTATTTATGAAATTGCTGTTTATCTCGTATTTTAGAATTTTGAACACTGTTTTGTCAAAATTCACCCTGTTGTCTCTGAAAGGGTTTGTGATTTAAAAAATATTATAAATGCTCTTTAATTCATTGAAATGCATCCCTTTTTAGCTTTTGAATATTCTTTTTGAGAAGACTATTTTGAAAAACGAAAAGGTTTTTACGAAGTTTAGAATGAGGTTTATGATAATCAAATGATTTACAAAATCACTTTGGTGTTGACTTTGAAGGGAAATTGGGGAGATGATGAAGAAATGAAGGTCCCAATTGAAGTGTAAAGGTAATGAATTATGAATGAAAGGGAAGAAAGGAGAGAGTGAGAGTAGAAAGAAGGGCCAGAGATTTAAAAAAAGATACAGGGTTAAGAACAATAGATTGAAAGGTAAACAGCTGTCCTTTAAAAAAAAAAATCAGTTGCAGTCGTAATTGAATGTGCTGACTGTTGTTGTCATCCGAAAATAAAAAAAGAAGGAACTGGTTGTTTTTTCTGATTTCAGATGTTCTGTTTATGATATAAGTTTGAGTGAAGATAGTGACTGCAGAGTCTATTAAGCTTTGAGATGGTATTATTGAAAGAGCCAAGTTATTTGTTATTTTATTGTCATAAGTGGGGAAACTTTCTGCTTTAGTTTTGAATTTAATTATTTTGTAAAGATTAATTTAGTTCAGCTCAATTTTTACATATAAATTAGCTCCGTCAATAGATTTTTGTAGGTAGTGGAACATAACTTTATTTTGAGATCCGTGATTATTTGTGATTTCCTTTAAATAGGTTGTAGTGAAGGGAATGCGGATTTTCTATTAAAGGATTATGATTTTTAGTCTGGGTTAAAAATAACAAGCTCAGGGGATGAGGTCTTTTATGTTAGACTGGAAGAGTTAAGGGGTCATTTATATATCAAGAATTGGAAATTAAAGAATGAATAGAAATGCAAGGAGGATGAGAGAGTGGCCACTAGTGCTAGTCTCAGAATGGGATTTTTTCCATTTCAAAGGTTTTCCAAGTGTTAAGCTTTACATTGCTGATATGTAGGTAAAAGGCTAGTGTCATAACGAGAATAATAGCGTTATGGTTGTGACCATCTGGATGGTGTGCTGTCGTTACCTTACACAGTGGTCACCTGAGGTTGGGCCATTCTACTTGATGATACTGTGATGGAAAATTTGTTGGTCTTAGTTTTGTGAAGTTTGTCTGTGTGGGGTGTTTCCAATGTTGTGATCTTGTCAGAAGTATGTTGTGTGTCGACTGTCAAAAGTATGTTGTGTGTCGTATGTTGTGTGTCAACTGTCAGAAGTATGTTGTGTGTCGACTGTCAGAAGTATGTTGTGTGTCGTATGTTGTGTGTCGACTGTCAAAAGTATGTTGTGTGTCGACTGTCAGAAGTATGTTGTGTGTCAACTGTCAGAAGTATGTTGTGTGTCGACTGTCAGAAGTATGTTGTGTGTTGTATGTTGTGTGTCAACTGTCAGAAGTATGTTGTGAGTCGACTGTCAGAAGTATGTTGTGTGTCGTATGTTGTGTGTCAACTGTCAGAAGTATGTTGTGAGTCGACTGTCAGAAGTATGTTGTGTGTCGACTGTCAGAAGTATGTTGTGTGTCGTATGTTGTGTGTCGACTGTCAGAAGTATGTTGTGTATCGACTGTCCAGGGCCAGGCAGTGAGAGACGTGGAGGGTTACAGTTCTACAGGGGCTCGGACAGAGCAAGGTTTTATGTAATATGAAGGTGATGAAATATTAGTCTGTTTTCCATCCCTGTAGTGTATGTATACGTATATATATATAATATATTTAGCACATGTTACCCCTAAACCATGCATATTGTGACCAATCTTCTCAAGGCGCCGAACATTTGTCATTAAAATTATTATTTTTTAAAAATTGAGTAGTATTTTCTGCTATTTATGGAATCCATGATAGAAATTTACTAATCCAAAAGATCATAAATGTGTAATACAAATAATTTATAACCAATTTTATCATGTTGAAGCTTTTTGGGGTTCAGGCTGTGATTGAGAAAGTGTAAGTTTTTCTGTTGAATGTTTTTAATCTTCATGTTGTGGTCAAGTTGGATTCTGATGTCATTATTGTCATGCCGTGTGAAGGAAAAGCTTCTGTACTACTGCAGCTATCATGACGGGAAGGCGGTTTTATTAATCAGTAGTAAATGTTTTTGTCCTGAGTTTCCTACTTACATATTTGCCACTGGCATTTACCACAACATTTAGAGACTAAAATCGTGGTGAGTGCATATTCAAAAGAAATGTCACAACCCAAATTGGGACGTTAGTCACTATCACTAAATTTTGTAGGCTTAGGGCAGGGTGTTCTGTGAGTCACATTAGTTCTAGATCTATAGGTTGGACACCAAATAGCTCAAAATACGCATAACGAAGCCTTATATGAAAACCCTTGATAAGTTTATTTAGAGGTATTGCTGTCTTAAGAAAAATGTGCAGCTCCAAAGGTTTTTATTCAGGATGTAAAGCGAGGTTGTAGGAAGTTGAGTATTTGTTATTTGGCTCAGACGATATCCTCTTTTAAATTCTGTTTACAGAAATGATAGGTAGGCCTACAGATGTAATGGAACTTGCACATTTTCAAAAGTTCTGGTCTCAAGCATGTGATGGTTGTTTTTTTTCAAATATTGATGTATTCTTTGCCTGCCTTTGTCTCTCACCCGTGATTTATTAAGTTTCTGAAGATATACAATCTGTTTCTGGTGTCTAATACATGAATACAGATGTCTAAGCCATATTTTATGAATCTCCAACTTGTCTCCTATTTTAAAATCCAAGTTTTTTCAATGATCACCATAAGAGATTTCAGTGTATAGCATGTTGCGCCATTGCTCCTAGATTCACCTTGTTTGACTACATTGGAAGGCATCAGACTGTTATTTCTGGGATTATTTTACGTTTAAGTTGAATATCAGTACTGGATGAGTTTTCTGTTGAGATTATATCAACTCTGAATCATTGACTTGAAGTGGTCGGTGTGTTTGAAATTATGGACGGGTTGAAACAAAATGCACTTAGATTTGTCAAACAAACTGGAAAATTATCAATTGCTGTTGAAATTTCACCTATCTTGCGGAGAGTTAACTGCAAAATAGTTTAGCTTGACATTACTTTTTCATGTTTTTAAAGTGTTTGGTTGCACAAGTACCCATGACTTTTTAAAAATACTTTTAATTGAAAAGCATATGTGGAATGTGAGGTACTCTTTTTATTCCGTCACATCTCACTGAATATCGTGAGTGAAACCGTGAATGACAAACATTTATCTTCAGAACAGTATTACACCTTTTTTTGTTGGAGGATGTATCTCTCATTAAAATTCCATTACCGGTACTATAAAATTTCTTTTGCTGAAATCTAACAACAAATGTGCTGAGACTTTCAGCTGTATACTGAAAACGGACTGTGGTTTAGATTGTCCTTATAGTCGAGTAGTGAGGGTTGTGAACTCGTTTGTGGAAGAACATTTTTTGTTTCCCTATTAAAGTAAAGTTGTAGAAAATGTTTTAGATAAAGCAATTTTTTAAAACAGATGTATCTTTTACAGAATTTTTGCTCCTCCCCCTTTGTTTTGAGAGTAGTTGAACCAAAGGTTGTGTTGACATTGACAATGTGTCTTGAAAATTTAGATTTGAATTTTTGTATTAGAATATCCATTACATTTTAGAAGCATGTATTTATTATATTTGTATTTGACTGTCATATTTAATATTCATTGTACGCATTATAGCTTTGACAATGAGGTAGTCCTCGCATTCAGCCATCTTTGTGAATGATCGTCGTATAAGACGGGTTGTATTAACATGTATTATATAAGTCATTTATTATAATATAATAATGTACATGCGTATTTGTATGTTATTAATATCCTGTGTACTTATTAACATATCAGCCATATACATGATGTGTCCAAGTGAGCAGTGAGCCTGCTTTGTCTAAGTGTGTGCAGGACACATGCTTGGTCCAAGTGTGCAGTTCGTATAACTTGTTGAAATGTGCGTGTGGTACTCGTACTTTCTGTTGGGTGTGGGTGATATTTAACCGAAGTTTGTTGTGTTACAGTGTGCATATGCTGTTTAAATGTGCAGAACTCCTATTTTTATGTCGTTCTTGCCAGTTCTGACAAAATACTGAAGCATTCACTGCGGATGTTTTTGATTTGATTATAATCATTCCCTTTGTCAAAACATTTTGGGCTGAGCTGGATCGAGAGAAAGAATGAACTTATGGCTGAATTGCAGTGAAAGTTTAGAGTGTTTTCAGTATTTCTGCACCCTTACCTGAATCTCACTTTTCTGATTTGCTGATTATTCAAGCAGCTGAGAAAAAGCAGATTCTTTTTTTTTTCCTTTGCAGCCAAAGGCGAGCTTTGACGTTATAGTATAAGCCATAAATAAATGAAGAATCCCCATCAATTGCAAAATGTACTGACAGCCAAATCTGGGTGTTTTGGAAAACCCCATTCACTCCAGAGTCTTATAGTAAGAAATGCAATGAGAATATAAAAAAAAAAGCGGGCAGTAACATTGATATTTAGCATGATAAAACTGCGTTTCATTCACATTTTTTTCAGAGAATAAGGTTGTTTTTTTCTCTCTCCTTTTTTTGTCAGTTTTGTAGTAAATAGATATACTGCGTTTTGCCATGTTGCCCTTCAGATGCACTTTGAGGTGTTTTAAAGGTTTTGTAAAATCCTGAATCTACACAGTCTATACGAAATACAAGGTCAAAATCAATTCTTTCAGCACTGGTAAATTTGCTTTTAATATTTTTATGGATGTTATCAAAACAAGAGGCATGATGTTTATGTTTCAACAGATATTTATCGTTGCTGTTGACGGGAAAATGAGCAACTTGGTTGACCTTGCTTCACAAGTTAAGTTAGATTCTAAAGTTAGAATCATTTATTTTTATTCATTTTCCTTGCGACGCTTATACATATATGCATTTGTGTGAACGTGGGTGTATGTGTGTTGAGTTAAACATTTGACTGTATTTTCTAGAGAGATTTCCCCTTGCCAAAACTCTGAGCCTTGAGCTCATGCCCAGATGCGGTCAGTACTCATAAATCAGTGGCCTTTACACGCAGGTGGTCTCAGACAAAAAGGAAGCATGTGTTTGTGTGGATATGAAAGAAATTTTTATGCTGAAATATTTACTATTGATTGACAAGTTATGGGTAAGTTTTATTGATTCTGATTTGTGTTTGAGCATTTTAACTTCAGCCTTTCAATTGTTCAATTTGAGGGTCTCATTTTGTCATTTGTTACAGGTCCAAGAAAATTTCGAGGGGCATCGGAAAGCAAACATCTAGTTTGGGTAGAATAAAATGAAATGCTGGGTTGGCAGTAAGGAAGTTGTAGTACCTGCTAGCTTTATCAGGTACAGCAGGCCAGTTATTGTTCTTCATTGACAAATATGGGGACTCAAAAACACAGGAGGCAGAAAACATTCGACATTTTAGTATAGCGTGGCGACAGTCTCGACAAAGTCATGTACTTTGCTGGATGCGGTTCATTGTCTGGGGGCTCCAGCTTAAGATCTTTGTAAAATTAATGAAGTTTCGTGAATTCCGACTCATGTCCGAGTGGTGTGACTCTACTTATCGGGAGTGCTGCTGAGTGTGTTTGTAGCTAGCCTTTTCTTGTACACTTTTGTGTGATTTGAGAATGCTGAATCAGCCTTTTGCTTGCGTGTTACTTAGCTTCTATTTCTATTCGTATATATGTTGTGCATTATTTATGCTTATGAAGTCAAGATTCTTTGTTGAAGAAAAAGATCTCTTGGTCTCTCTGAAGAGGATTAGAGAGGAGCAGCAGAAGGATTACTGTAAAGAGATGGTTTTCGTACGGTACTTTTTTCTCCACTAGTTCATCAACCCTGTCACAGCCAGATCAACCACTGTGGTTGAACATTGCTGTAATTATTTCTGCAGTTTTTGTACATGACTCTCGCTTCTTTTGTGCTGTGGGGTTTTTCAGCTTGGGTCTGTTGGCCTCTCTCACAGGGTCTCAGTGGCTGAGCTGATCAAACCACAAACTTGAATAAAATGTGCAGCCAGTATACGACCTGCTGTGGTCACACTCTCCTCAACCAACTGGTGGTTCCAACTGATGGGGGTCTGCCTTCAGCCCGAAGAAAAACCGCACAAAAAACTAAAAAGTCTATGCTTTTCATCCCGGTTACCGAAAGTCACAAAGTTCCTCATGAAATTACTAATGTGTTGAATGTACATCTTCCTACGTGGCATGTTGTTCTGTAAAAAGTAGTAGTACAAATAACAAAAGTTACAGTTACTGCAATAAGTCTGTAAGCCTAGTAGACAACTCGTGACAGTTTCATGCTTAGCAAAAAAGAAAAAACCAAAAGCTTCGAGAGAGTTTTGGATTCTCATGGATTGTTATACTAGCAAAAGGTTTAGCATCAAGATAAGAGGAAAAATGCTTTTTTATCGATGTGTCGTAGGGATTAATTCCTTTTTTTCACATGAATTTGAATACTTATTCATCCACTGAATACAATTATTTTTCACTCACATATCACAAGGCTCTTTTGCAGCTGTGTAGGCTACCTGTTTGAAAAAAAACAACCTAAACCCTAATGAGAGTAATTGCGATGGGAATGATAACGAGACTGCTGTAGGGCAGCACACTTAATTTCTTTTTACTGAAAGGCGTCTCGAGGTGATGATCTTTAAAAGTAAATAAGCAATATTATGCACAAAAGATGTTCCAGTCATTTATTTATTATTCTGTGGGAAGAAAGTTCCTTATAGAGCCTGATCAAAGAAAAAAACCCAAATCATCTTTCTTCCTATTTGGTTTCAAGTTCAACATTGTTTGGTGGGGGCTTTTTTCAGGTTAAAATAACATTATTTTCAACCGGTACTCCACAAAAATATTTTTATAATTTAATTTTCTTATTGCGAACGTAACATATGTATGCGCAGACTGTCATTCTTCTGACTGCTTATCATGGTATATGACAGTGCTGTATCGTTCTGTAGCCCATTCATAACCGGGAAAATGCTAACTCTGCTTTGCTGTTGCAGAATGTGCTATTTTTACTTTTACTTATCGCTGTGAAATCCTTTAAACAGCTGTCGCTTCTGTGGTACTTTTTTATGTATTGGCTTTATCCTGTTTTTATTTAATTTTGAATTCGAAACAAGCTTTACAACGTGTTCATGTATAGAATATAAATATTTTTTACAAAATAAAAATTTGTGCAATGTATGGTCTTACTGTTCCATCTTTTTTTGTGTACTGCCGTCAAGTAAATGTTTGGACTGACAAGAAGAGCATTTTAGTACAAACAATTCACTTTTTGGACTAGAGATCTCAAGAATGTTTATGCTTATGATGTGCAACAATCGTATGAATTGACACAAAGCTCTCTCCCTTCCAGTGGGTCCAGGTGGTGACCAATTCACTATCCTAGCTGCCAAACAGTATGTAAAAAACTTATTTAATCCTTTTTTTTAGAGCCAGGGTACAGATGTTAATTTTCGTATCAGAAAGTACATACTTCTGGTTTGTTTAGTATTGCTCCTCACGGACTTGCCACTGAAGAAAATTTATGAACAGTCAAAACTGGACTTGTGAATATAATGAGAATGAAGCCATAATTCAATCAGAAAAATCTTTTGCTGCAGGGCCACTTGGAATTTATTGAAAAAGAAGTTGAGGGGGGGTGGGGGGTGCTGCGTGAACAATGCCCACTACATTGACCCCATGTGAGACTTTACTCCCAGTACTACTGCAGAGGTTGGTTCAACCTCTCTAATTATGTTGTGAAAATCAGTTCTCTGTGACAAAATGTGAAGCTTTTTCTTCCTCTAGTGTGTCTGTCATTCCACCTCCTAAATGATCTTAATTGTATCGATGAGGGCAGAAAACACCTGCAGTTATCTACAGTGGAGTCTGCTTTAACCAAAATCGGCAGAACTGCCGCATTTTCTTTGGTTTAGCCAGTTTTTGGTTCAGGAATGTTGCTCAAAATAGAAAAAAAACCCAACAACCTGGGATTTTCTTTTCTTTCAGTTTACCACTGTCTTTCAGATGAACCATATTTGATTGAAGTAGTCTCCACTGACTCCACTGTATGTCATTTTTCTTGCCACCTGCATTCTGTGACTATGATAATGTCTGTATGTCCTGTTGACTTCCAGCAATGTGTAAGTCAAAGACAAAAGTGCACAGTTCACATGATGCAGTTTAACTCATTCAGTGTTATGGACGGGAATACTCGCGAAACCTGCCCACATACTAATGACAAGTATGTGGGTGGTTGGCGGGTGCTCTGGTGTGGTTTGCTTCTTCTTTCCTATCAAACGTCTATCATCCTGATCTCTCCTTCGTATTTTTTATGCTTGTTACTCTCTTGTAACACCTCTAATCTTCTGGCGCTCATATGACCTTATGCAGTTGCGAGCGCCATAAAACCTCTACTAAAACTAAAGATGAGTATTCTCGCATTCTGCCTTGCTATCTTTATAGAAAGAATTATTCTATCTAATCCATACCCAGTCATTTGAACTAATCGTGATGCATTATGCGAAAGGTCAAGGAGACATTTTTTCTGCTCGAACAGCCATTGAGCCTGCTAGTTTTTATTGATTTTTCCGGGGTAGACCTAATTTTTATGTTGCCATAACAAAACTGCCCAGTATATGACGGGAGTTCACTGCTGGAGCACACAGCACTGAATGAGTTAACACATTATGTCCTAAATGTTATTATTATAATCAGTCAAAAGAGCTGTAGTTTGTAAATTTCTTTATTTGTACCTGAACCTCTGATAAGGGTTCATAAGAAAAGTGTATAGATTTCAGAAAGCATCCAAAACAAATTATAGGGAGATTGTTTAAACTAATTCTTGAGAGGAGCGAGGTCCTCTTATCTGCTTATCAACAGATCAGTGTCATCGATGGCTGCTTCATTCCTCTCCAGACCAGAAATAACCGAGGATGCGACGTCCAGTCATCTATTTATTGGCCTTCAGCTCCTTCACGAGCCTATCTAGGCCAGAGTCCTTGGAGGCTTTGCCGTCTTCTAACAAGGCCTGCAAATACAGACGGTGAAACAGTAGGGACATACTATCAAGATCCTGGTCAGATTGCACATTGAACAAAACTGAACATGTACATTGTGCTATTTTTAGATTTGTCAGAGCCTTACACATTACACTAACATCAAGATTAAGATAAGTTTAAAACAGTAGAAAATCATTTATTCTTACTCATGGAAATAATAAAAAAGTGGCACACTTTTTCTTGACTATGAAAAGTAAAAAAGAGAAAAATGAAAAAAAGAGATGAGTGTCTGCTAATACGGAGATCATACAAAAAGTCTGAGTCGGGGAAAGCCAAGAAGACAGACGGTAAAGGGACAAAGAGAACAGTTTGAGCAGGACTGCCATTGAGACAGACAGACTGGCAAAGGACAGGAGAGAGTTCAGTAACAGAGTTGGGACTGCAACGTCAGGAGGAGGAAAATTCATCTCAAAGGACAGAGTGGGGGAGAAAAATCTCTGAGTGATTTGAACAAACCCCAGCATCAGATGGCAATAAGACAAGGACCTCAGCACCTACATTTCAGCAGGATGTTGGAGAGAGAAAGGGAGAGATAAAAGAGACCAAAAAAAAAGACTCAGAGAGAGTGATAGAGAGAAAGAAAACACACTACTAAAGTAATTCCTGAATCAAGGATCTTCATTTCCTTGTCTGATAAATTCACGTTTCCAAAACTCCACCAAGGTCACAAACAGAGCGGAGACTTTCTTCCCCAAGACTTTTCCAAGAGTTTTCAAGACCAGATTTCTTTTTTCCAAGACAAATAACGATGCCACTTCGAAAGAAAATGTTTCGTTCAGCAAGCAAAAATACATATTATGGTATACTTCAGACTGCATAAAGTCCAGGCCCTCTAAACGTCGAGGAAATATTTTTTACAATAGATCTAGTTAAAAATTTATTTTTTAAGGACTTTTCTAAGAATCCTGCCAACTTCCCAAAATTCCAAGAGTTTTCCATGTCTTGGAAGATAAAAACAACATTCCAAGAGTTTTCCAGTTTTCCAAGACCTGTACGAACACTGACAGAGATAATTCCAGTCTATAAATATCATAACCCTCCCCCAAACATCAGCACATCTGACCTTGACCAGCTGTTGGTCGGAGTCCTTGGCCGAGTCCCACAGAAGCGACACGAGGCCCTGCCTGGACAGAGAGCTGACATATCCGACGTCCGTGCCAGCATCCACCTGGTCCAGAGCTGTGGCAAACAGGTGCTTGGCTAACCTGGGGGTGGACGACGGTTTGTTTGTTTGAGGGACAGAGGGACAGAGAATTACATCAACACAACTGTAGTGATGTCACTGTCAAACATGTTTAGGTTTAAGAGGTATAACTCAATAAGTCAGTGTCCAGTTGTCCTCATTCATTATTCTTAGTGACCACCCTTAACTGTCGTGAGTTGTCTTCGTCCTTTCATAGTGATTACTTTTGTCAGTGTTGTGAGCACTATATAAGCTTGAGACCATGTGGTCAGTGTCTCTTCCGAGCAGAACATGTGAACAGAGTATGTGCCAGTTGTTTTAAGTACTAAACTGCCTACCCTGACCAGATGTGCTTGTTGAATTTTATAACAACAGCCATTTTGTGCTGATTTTCACAAGTTACGGTACAGAGTCTGTAGTCTTGTTGTTTCTTATAAGCAAGAACAACATAATTTCTTTGACAGGGGTGCTTTTCTGTATTACATTTAAACACCAGTATTCTTATTCTCTTTCAAAAGAAAGATTCATAATTCTTTCTTTGTAGCATAGAGAGTGTTTAACAGTCTCAACTGAAAAAGTCACAAAAAAGCAACACAATCTGTCAAAGCTCAAAACAAAGATGATCACAGTGCTCAGTCAACTTTTGGTCTGAAGACTCATGAATTGATGCATGTCGAAAAAGCTTACACATCATGGTTAAACAAATAATATTCCCTAGGTATACAGCAAGATACCTAGAATACTGTGAACATTTCTGATCAAATGATCTACAGCATAAAAAACAAATGCAGAGCTGCCAACTTTTCGAAGCCAAAAAACAGAATCTAACTTTAACCAAGATGGTGATCGTTGGCCAAGTAACCCCCCTCCACAACCTCAACACACACTTTTCAGCATTTAATAAATAGTTTGCTCTCCAACTGACTTATGGTCTTCGTTTTCTTTATTACGTAAATCTGGTCTTGAAAGTTCATAATTCTTTTCAACATCAGCCAGTGCATGAGGAGCATTACAAGAAAACAGAATACATATTTTCTGATCAGATATGTCAGACCCTCAAAAACGTATTCAATATGTTATTAAAGTACTGATTGGCAGCTACAGCTATGCAGATGGTAACATTGCAGGCAACACAAACCTTTTATTGTCCTCTGTCCTCATGGCCTGTAAAGCGTTCACAATAGTAGACGAGATCTCCTTCTGTTTAAACGTCTGGGCCACTGTGTCGAGATTCTCTTTCAATACCTCACTGTCAGATTCCTGTACAAAAAGAAGGAAGAATTTTCTGAACAGCTGTGAAGTACTTCACTGTGAAGCTGACAATCTCAAAGGCAATGCGCATGTTTTGCTGTCCCCGTCTATGCAAGAACAATTCTGAAATTATGCAAACTCAGCCCAAAAATGTGAAATTATGCTATTCTGTTAATTTTAACAAAGAATGATAAAGGAAAATAATCAGAAATTAAGCAAAAAATCAAATTTTGCTAAATTAAGCGGGGTGCATAAAACCACGGGGACAGGTTTTGGGTCAGTATCTGAAAAGTGATTTCATTTATTTTTACTTAAATACTTCCAATACTACACTATTTTTAAATATTTTGAATTTCTATAAAAAAAAAGCTTTTCTTATTTGACTCTAAAAAACCCGAAAATCTAGACATTTTAGTGAATCAAAGCTCGCGTCAAGTCAGTTGCATAAAGATACAAAACTATTCTTGAGAAACAAAGTCCACCATAGATCACAGAAAACATGGCACAAGCAGGGTGGCTACCGTACCTGCAGGCCTTTGTACGAGATGAAGGCACTTCTTTCCAACAAGCTTTTGTAGAAAGCAGCACTGTAGAAAAAAGATAACGAATTAGAAATGATTACCTGAAAATTTTATATTGAATTTATTTATTCAATAAAATAAATTTATAACTTGGATCGTTATTGCTTGAGTAGTTTACAAGACTGTTTCAATGTCAAAGTCACAGGAAGATTCTATTAGTGGCCCCAAAACAGAAGGTATCCCTTATGAGTAGAGAACTAAGTTTTGAAAAACTTCCTTGTCCAGGGAAATTATGAAAACATAAAGCTGATGTGACTTACAGACTATCCTTAGGTTTGACTTGAGGGAAACAAAGATCTGAATTTTCTAGAATGGAACAATAATTTTTTTAAAAAGCAACAAACAAAGACCCCCCCCCCCCCCCCCCAAAAAAAAACAACCCCCCAACCCTACATACCTTATTTTTTCTTCTTTTCCTTTCACAAACTGTTTCAACAATGCCACAGCCTCTGTAAACTTGCCTTGGTCAATCAACAGGGAAATGGCCAACTGAGGATTCAGATAAAAAAATTTGTCATTAGGATTTAGTAACGAGGGGCTCTGAAAGATAGAATAAGACCTGGCACATGTCGCGAACTCAAATTTTTGTATGCTTTTCATATAATAATTGTATAAAAATATACAATAAATCGTGGCTAATTCTTCATCCAACTCTTTTTGCACATGTTTTCTTGTTTTCATGAAAATGGAGAAATCAGGATTGGTGTGAGGATCAACCAATCAGCCACAAAGAGGATACTCAGAATAATAAACTGTTGAAATATTTCTCAATTTCAAAAACACAGACTTCCTCATAATGAACAGGTCCTGACATCATGCTGAACCAAAATCTATTCAAATACCAACAATATCGATGACAGAGTGTCACAACCAATAAGTTACTCACCACTAACGGGAGACTGTTTGCCTCAGAGACATGGTCCAGGCCAGAGTCCACGGTAGACGTGAGAGAATTCTGCACAAGTTTGTTGAAAGACGTCGGGTCTGGGAACTGTAACACACAATATTATCTGAGGCATTGAATTTTTTGACAAACAAACAAAAATCCAACAAAAATCAGCAGCTGATTTAACACTAACAGTACCGTTGGCGACAGCCCGTAATTTCCGCTCAGTACTGCTGGCGACAACGACCAGGCACAGTAAACAGCGAACGGAACTTCTCCACGGAAGTAAATATCAAGGGAAATCACTCTATGTGATAGCTGAATCGTTGATATAGCGCTTCGAATTTTTTAAGTGCGTTTCTTGAGCTGTGAAGGTTTTAAAAACATATTTTTGTTCTATCATGGCTTCAGCGTTCCCAGATCGCTCTATCTAGATCTAGAAATTCAGGTGGGCGTGCCTACCTTCTCCAAACGGAATGGGAGTTTTTTCATGATGTCTATATGTCGCAAAAAATATTTTTCTATAAAGAACATTTGTTTCAGAATATATGTTGAAAATTTCATGTAATTCTGTCAATGACTTTTGTTTCAAAGAATTTTTTTGTAACGTACCCTTATTATTTTGTTGGCTTCTAAATCGGTGCGGCACTCAAGGGCTTTTCACGATATGACCCTGCGGTACTGTAAGTGTTAACTGATTACAGTAGTCTCCACCTAAACGCATGGTACTCGGGAGGGGCCCTAAGCGTGTGTTTATACGGAGCGTACGTTTACATGAACCTGTGCAAAGAGAGGAAGATACGTAATGATGTAATTTCCTTGATATTTTAGTGACCTTACTTGTGGGGTGAGGGTCACTTTGGTCGATAATGTGACGACACGTGATTGTTTTGTGTAGGATTTCTCGACTGCGGTTAGATACAAAGACGTTGAGCGGGGGCAGAACAGACCCAGTTTAATTATATGCACCATAAAATTTCGGGAACAGATAGCCTAAGAGGAAACGGTTGGTGATAGTCATAGAGACGACAGACCAGCCACGTGGCTTTCCAAGCGACCGCCCCGACAGTAAATTCATGCAGAATCATCCTCGAGAAACATTTTATCTTGTGATTCGTTGAACAAGTAGATCTACGTTATAAGTTCTTCGAGCGCAATTTATTAGGCTTACTTGGCTAATCTTTAATTCTATAGAAGCCTGTCTAGTGTTTTACGACATTTACGCATTTCGCGCATCAGGTCTAGATCTAACTAAACATTACACGCAGTCACTCAAACTCAAACGCCAGTCAGAAACCTTCTCTTAAAGATCATACATTTCCAGTGACCAATCAAAAGACATTTCAGTCCCCCCAATCCCATCCACCCCCCCACCCCAACATTTAACCGACCAGCCCGAGACCTATGCGTCAGTGGAAAGTAGGGTGTGTAAACGCTGTCTATCACTCTCTTTGTCCGGTGTGAGGGGCACTCTCACCAAATATCCGGTTTTCGAGTAAATTCTAGGCTTGTCTTATGCAGGCTGTGCAGGTTGTAGTGAAAATTTCCCCTTGCCAAGCTTAACTTGTCGGCGTATTTCACGGATCGGAGTGTGCGTTTACAGGGAGTGACCGTGCGTTTGTACGTCTAAATTATATCGTAAAAAACCCGTCACATGACGAAAGCGTGCGTTTGAGCGGATGGTGCTTTTGCATTGCGTGCTTTAGGTGGAGAATACCGTATCAACATCCCAGTCTCACTTAAGATAAATCTCGGTTCCAAAGGCTGGATAAAACATGCATCATCCCTGCCTGCCTTCCTTCCTTATTTTTTTCTTCATTTTTATCACTGGACTAAGTTGTAAGCCTTAAAAAAAACCCCAATTATTTGCGTTTAGTATACAGTTCAACTTACACAAAAAAATAATAAGCAGATGGTAAACAATAAGCTGACAGATGGGGAAAAACGCAGCTGATGGCATTTAGATAGCAGTCACACGGTTGAAAAGTAGCATAAACTTAACTCTTGAGAAAATTTAGTCTTAAAGGTTTTTAAATTTATGCACAAAAATATTAATTGTAAAATTGTCCAATGTTTCACTATATTTCCTCCTCAGAAATGTGTAAGTTAATCAAGATACACAATACACATATACAGAGTAGACAAGACAAAGATTTAATGATGATCATCTGTGTGTCCAACCTCAGAGAGAAGCTTGGCCTGAGCTGTTGCCATCTGGACATCACCGGCCAAAATCCTGTTGACCACTGAGTGCTGCAGGAACCAAGTCTTTAGCTCAGGAGACAAATCTTCTAGAGTAAAGAAAGAACATACAATAGTATAACTAAAAGTTTTTTTGTTTTTTTTATAGAGGGTTTTACGGTGCTCGCAACTGCATAAGGTCATATGAGCGCCAAGAGGTGGATGTCAACAGAGAAGTCTTTACAGGGAATCAGACTTATTCTGCTCACCTCTCTAACTTGTGTCTGCTTCGACTATCAAGGCACCCCAAAAATAGCAGGTCACAAGAGAGTGACAAACATACAAAAGAAGTAGAGGAAAAATGACAATAGTGAGGATTAGGAAAGAAAAAGCAGCAGTTCCCTGTTGTAGATTAGGCACAGTTATGAGCGTGACATGAATCAGCCCATTTACAATTCTACTGTGCTTGAACGAGAAATGTCCCCCCTTTGGGAATGGCCTAAAGACACTACAGTCAGTGGCACCGCCCCGGGGAAGTAACCAAGAGAAAAACTACAGAAAAAATTTGAAAAGTAAACAAAATAGAGTTTGAACAACTGTTAAACTGGAACATTTTTTTCAAAAAGTTACAATGTAACCATCCCCTGCATGCACCAACATACATGCTTGAAAGTGCCATGTCAAAAACACAACCTTAAGGGATAGATGATGGAGATCCACTCACCTTTATTCAAAAGGAGAGAAAGCAAATCTTGTTCAACCTGGAGAAGGTCAGAGTTTCCGTGTAACGCCAGCCTCAGCACCGCCTCCGCATGCACAGCACTCACAAACGTACTCTGGGCTGACACTGATCCTGAACCCAAGGAGAGAGGAAAACAAAATTATTGATAAGAAATTATCAATAGCTTGCAATAGCAACTAAAGAAAAACTGTTGATACCACTTAATGTCACAGGAATGAAGAAACAAATACAACATGCTTTTAGTTTTAGAAAAGGTTTTATGGCATTAACAACACTCATCACTCATACGTCAAGTAAGAAGGAAGGTAGAAAAATGCTAGGCACAAGTTTACCAACCTGGGTTAAGGTGGAAAGCCCTCTGGGCTGACCTCAGAGCGTTCTTGCTTCTGTCTTGTCGACTGTGGTGACCTGCCAACATCTGAGCCCGGCACTGTAGCAAGACGTCATTCAACTGAAAGTACAGAAACCGTTTGTTTGCTTCAGCTAGAGTCTATGAAAATATGGACATTATTGTGATAATGGTATTATATAAGAGCTGGGGAAAAAGCAAGACAGAAATGGTCATTTATAGTTGTGAAAACACAGTACAGAAATGTCATTCAGAGTTTGGAAAACACAAGACTGAAATGGTCATTTAGAGTCTAAAAAGCACAAGACTGAAATGGTCATTTAGAGTCTAAAAAACACAAGACTGTAATGGTCATTTAGAGTCTAAAAAACACAAGACTGAAGTGGTCATTTAGAGTCTAAAAAACACAAGACTGAAGTGGTAATTTAGAGTCTAAAAAACACAAGACTGAAGTGGTAATTTAGAGTCTAAAAAACACAAGACTGAAGTGGTCATTTAGAGTTTAGAAAACACAAGACAGAAAAAATCGAGGGAGAATCAACTCAGTAAGACAGTCAGGACATTTCTGCTATCAGCATCACATAAAAATAATTTTTTTGCTATCAGCGTGACATGGCACACAAACACATCAGTCAAGACTCACACAGTCAGCGTCAGAGCCGAGGCTGAGTGCCGTGACACAGCACTCCGAGGCAGCAGGACCCTGGTCTGGGCTGACCAGCAGGATGTAGCTGGACAATAGTGACCACAAGCTCGCCTCCTCTGGGTAGGTCTCAACCAACTCACGCATGTACGTCTCCCCGCCAGCTTTGTCATTCTGTGGTGGAGGTGGCGGGAGGGGGGTGGAGTGGGGAGGGGTGGGGGGTTGGAGGAGGGGTAAATATATCTGATGAGTTACAAAATTTGAGAGAGGAAAGTGGGGACAAAAACGGCACAGTGACACAGGAAAGCTGCAAGTAACTGTTCTGAAGCGGTCACTTCTTTGTCCTATTATTAAACAGAAAGAATATTCATCTTTTTAACTGAAAATATATTTAAATTTTCAGCATCTGACGACACTAGCACAGAAATTTTTGCAATGACTTTACAACTTTCCATTCAGTAAAACTGTTTTTGATTTGACTAATTAAATGTGAGGCATGCTGACAAAATGAGTTACTTTTCGCAATCCACGTTATTGGTTGAAAATCAGCACTGGGGTCAAAATACATGTTGTCCAAAATATAGATTTTCAACTGACACTATTTTCTTCAACTTTAACATATCTTTTGTCAAATTCTTTCTAATACATTATATGAACTTCAAATATAAATTTGATGTAACAATGTCCGTAGAGCTAAAATCCGAGAAGTAACTCATTTTGTCAGCACCCCTAATAAACGTTAACAAACATGAGCAAAAGTATGTCAGGCACCTGAGCCATAAACCTGAAGAGACAGAGCAATGCGATTTGTCGCAGGTACTTGTCCTTGTCTCCGAGCTTGGAGAGTTCCTCCAGCACAGCCGAGGCCAGAGTGAGGTCCCCTTGCAGCAGACCCAGCGCACAGAGAGCCAGGAGGCCCTGGACCGATGGCTGCGACGTCTGGAAGCTGGAAAAAAACAACAGCAATAGATAAGGAAAATGTAATTCCTCTTTGCTCTTAAGAGATTTTTATACATATACATACATAGGCGGTGCTGAGGCTGGCGTTACACGGAAACTCTGACCTTCTCCAGGTTGAACAAGATTTGCTTTCTCTCCTTTTGAATAAAGGTGAGTGGATCTCCATCATCTATCCCTTAAGGTTGTGTTTTTGACATGGCATTTTCAAGCATGTATGTTGGTGCATGCAGGGGATGGTTACATTGTAACTTTTTGAGAAAAAAATTTCCAGTTTAACAGTTGTTCAAACTCTATTTTGTTTATACTTTTCAAATTTTTTCTGTAGTTTTTCTCTTAGTTACTTCCCCGGGGCGGTGCCACTGACTGTAGTGTCTTTAGGCCATTCCCAAAGGGGGGACATTTCTCGTTCAAGCACAGTAGAATTGTAAATGGGCTGATTCATGTCACGCTCATATATATATATATATATATATATATATATATATATATATATATATATATATATATATACACACACCCACACATATATATTATGATATATATATATATATATATACACACATATATATTATGCATAATACTGAGTTTTATGTACTCATGTCGCTTAATTTTTAATTTTAAGAAGTGATGTGTTTTGTGATGTAATGCACATTGAGCATTTTTTAGAAAACGGAAACGAGCAGCATAAATGCTATTTATTATCATTATTAAGAGGAATTATAATTTATAGGATAGCTTGTATAGAATGGATCATGTGCATCAACTTTTATCTGTCGAGGGACGCAACTTTGTACAGCTTAGATATGACTGCTATATAATTGAGATGCATTTTGACTGAGCTGTGTTTACTTACAAGTGTTGTGAGTAATGTGTGCAGTCTATAGAAACTGCAGAAGTAATACTTAGCCATGTCTTGTTTAAATTTTTAAAATCTTAAATATATGTTTTTTTTACATGTTCATCAACACAATTTAAATCATTTGGGAGGTGGTCTTCGACCCTGCCTGTCAGGATCAACTTGAACCCAAAGGGATACAATGTCCAAACAAAAAGACTGAGACACTGAATTAAAATTCTACAGAAACGTGAAATGAGCCCAGGTCTGCAAGCACTCACTCCACCAAAGATGCCATAAGCCACTCTTATGACAAGTGAGATATTCCCATATCCTCTACAAAGCGAATTTTAACTTCCATCACCGTTTTGACATTGACATATTTCAGGTGTACCTGCTAAACAGCTGTGACTTAGCTCCATCCATATCCTTGAACTTGTAGGCTGCCATGCCCAGAGCCGCGTGCACGTTGGAGCGTTCTTGATCTGAGCGTGCCTGCTCCAGTGCCTTCTCTAAAACTGAAATAGACAAAAACCTCAGCTAACATTTCAAAACAAAAAATACTGGTATGGTCACTGAACCATAGTTTGAGCTGGCTTAAGTAAAAGTAATTCACAAATTCTGATAAGCATTGTTCAGTGATCCTCCATGATTGCAATTTACAGAAGATTGTTTAGTCTTTTACACCGAGATAATAAAATTCATGTCAACAGAAAAAGCTCAACAGCTTTCACAAGAGGTGCTTCGCCAGGACTCTTAGAGCATCATAGCAAGACACGACAACCAACAACGGTAAAGTTTAGAGGTAAAATACAAAGACTTAAGAGTTCCCACTGTATTTTCACACTCATGTATCACAGTTAGATGACTGGAACACTTTTGCCACATGGAAGACTAAAGGGTACCCAAAAAATCTGCTCTTTGAAGAACTACACAATGGAATGAGCAAAAAAGGTTGTCTGGTGAGATACGAAAAAATTGCCCCCATGCAATTGGTGTCACCTTGCTTCCACGTCTTGAAACAGTAACATCAGCTTTATTTCGAAATGCAATAGTCAGAATTGTCAAAGACAGCCAACCATTGTCGAGGAAAAAAGTAGTTGCCCTAGAAAGGTGAATATCATTGACACTGGACAGGGTCATATATATATATATATATATATATATATATATATAAAAAAAATTTTTAAAAAAATTCTTTATTTAAAATTTTTTTTTTTTTAAAATGCAAGGGAGGAAATAGGGAATAGCCATTTGTTCAGGTGGTTGTCTTTCACAGGTAACTGTCACAACAAGTTCAACTGTACTTAGATTCTTTATTTAGAGTTAGACATTGAGTGCTTTCCTATACCCAAGTAATGACCCTGCTGTCCTTACCATTGAAAGCCTCAACAAGTTTGTCCGAGTGATACAAGGCCAGCCCGTACAGACACGTGTGCTCCATCTGTGCCGACAGGTCACACTGGCCATACAAACTGACAGACTCGTCGTACTTGCCATGAGAGCTGGAGATAGAGATTGGAAGCATGTACAAAGAAGAAAGAGATAGAGATTGTGTGATGCGAGTATATGGCATAATGTACATGTCATGTAAGCATTACATATACTTTCCAGCGATGGATCACCATCGAGTATCTGAACTTATCTAAGAATATTACTAGGCCAGTGATACAATAAGAATGAATATTATCCCACATAAATTTTTTTGCAACTGGTTGATTACAAGCAAATGACGTAAGTTTCTCCAAAGATCTATGAAGAAAAGGACGAAACATTTGTACATTACTTTAAGGTCTTAATATATAAACAACCTTCATACAAAAACTTGTAACCATGTATAAGAAAAATGGGAAAACTTCTTAATATAATAGACACTTAGCTATAAAGTGCAGTTTTCTACGACGAGTATCTCAAAAACATTTCTCTCATGAATACCTCAGCTACAACTAATACATAATTCAGTTCAATATAGGTTTCAGCAGTATACCTTACATGTCCAGTATTTTTTTCCCCAAAGACTCAACGGACAATGAACTATCACTGCTCTATATGCTGCCTCCTCCAAGCTGTTTTGTCCACTAATAGAAACATTGAACATTAAGCCCAGAACTCACCACAAATTTCTGGCTAGGTTCAGCCTCACATCATTTACCCTGGACTGATCAGCCCCATCTTGCAACAACACCAGAGCCCTGCCATAAAATAACAAAAATGAGCGATAATTGTCATTGCAGAGAGGAGAAAAATAGCAACAGTCATTTAAAAGAGGGTAAAAATGAGCAACTGTCAATAACTAAAGTTGACCACAGTCATCACACCAAAGACTTTAATCAAAATTTCGAATTATTTGGGGACAACAAAAAACCAGTTCCACTGTGGGGCAGAATTAACAATGGCTCATCTTGAGACCAGGAAGATAGGACTGACAATAACATTAGCACATTAATGTAATCAGAAAACTAGTCACATAATTCTTCACTCCATTAATGAATGACATATTAATCTCTGAAAAGACAAAAAAACAACAACCCCAAAACATACCAAACAAATCAAGCACACTGAGTTTTGAAAACCAGATTGCGTCAAATATATATATATGAATGGGCATGAGCAAAAAAACTATCTAAAAACCCCTTTATTTCCCAGTGAACAGTATATGATTTGTCATTAGAATTTACTTTTCATAAGCCTCTGTTGCAGATTGGAAAAATTTCTGGTGTTCCAGCAACAACCCAAGCATGTTGTAGGCCACAGAATCTGTCTTGATACGACCTGAAAGACGGATTTATATTGCATCTCATTTTTATGTCTACATACCCAAATAGACAAACACACACTCATGTACACATAAAGAAGCAAATACACATAAGTATGCATACTAAAATATCTCCCTCCTTTGACTGATGCCTTAAACAAAAAATTTCTAAACTTTTTATCGAAGAGAATCCTGAGTAAAAATGTATACTCCCAAAAATAAAAAAAATAAAGAGCCACTTCCATTAGTGAATATATGAGTAATATTCACACCCCACAATGCATCTTGACACTTTCCTCTTTAATTTTACTTAATTCCATGACAAGAACATCTCAAGATCTCTTCAACTGTAACTTCACACACTAGAAAAGAAGTTTAAAAAAAAACCACTGATCAATCTTTACTTGTGTATCTAATGAGGGCGTCGCAGGCTGCAGGCACAGCGGCCATCTGCTGTATACAGTAGTGGAACAGCTCTGACGACCTCTTCTCCTGGTCTCCTAGTGTGGTCACCACCCACTGACCATAGCCCAGAGCACTCTCCAGCTGGGGAAATAAAACATACAACAAACTTGGTTGAAATTCTTTGCCATATCAACAGGCCGAAGGGCTAGAACTCAAATGACCGCTGGATCAGAAAAGTACAAGTTGGTTGTCTACACAATATACAAAATGAAACAATAATAATAGAAAATTATTATGGAGTACGCTTTTATAGCAACTTGGAAGCCTTTAAGTCAGCCACAGCATTGTTTAGGACATATGGTGTTGCCAAATGAAGAATGAGGAAGACTGGGAAGACAAAAAGCATATCTCAGTGGTACCCTCCAGGTTACTACAAGCACAAGTCATGTAACAGCTGCGTCAG